CCACTCCTACTCGTTGGGAGGTATAGAACAAAAAGTAAATGTAGTTTTCACTCCTCCTGCTTACTAGCTGTGGAAACACCAAGCTTGTTTTTTCATATATAAAATGTGTGTAACAATGCATACCAAGTAAGTATTGCTGCGGGAATTAGATGAATCAGTGACTGAATAGGACTTACATAGCTAACAGAACACTAGTAGAACAAAGTAGATATTTTAATCATGACCTCTTGTTTCCCTTGTAATATAGGGAAAACTATTTGACTATTCTGTATCATCTTTTATTAACAAATGCTTTATATTTGTCTTGGCTTTCCCTTGGAGAATTGAAATGGCGCTATTCACTTCTTATATGGAGGTAGATGGTAAATTTTTAATTGTTTTAAGTTTTAGTGGGTGTTCTACTTACCATAATGAAAAGTCTGTGAATTATCAAACCAATAACTGTTGATGGTCTGAAATCTGTATTATAGTACATAGTATTAATAATCCCTTAGTCATTAGATATGAGCATTTAAAAGGATTTGCTATATACTCTAGTATCAAAAAGAGAAGGACCCACATGTTTATTAGGCACATATTATATGGTCAGTAATATCTTAGATTCTAGGAATAGAAAGTGATTGAAATGAGAAGCTCACACTATAGCAGGCAATAGTCAAAAACAACAGATTAAATGCAATAAAGAGGTGAATGCTATCATGTAGTGCGGATAAGCAAGGGGGAATAAACCAACCTGGGAAGTAGAAGAAACCCTAGCAAAGCTGTGCTTTTTTGTCTAAATGAAAGTATTTCAAGAAATCCTGCCCTAGCCGGTTTGGCTCACTGGATAGAGCGTTGGCCTGGGGACTGAAGAGTCCCGGGTTCGATTCCGGTCAAGGGCATGTACCTTGGTTGCAGGCACATCCCCAGTAGGGGGTGTGCAGGAGGCAGCTGATGGATGCTTCTCTCTCATCGATGTTTCTAACTCTCTATCTCTCTCCCTTCCTCTCTGTAAAAAATCAATAAAATATATTAAAAAAAAAAAAAAAGAAATCCTGCAAAAAGGTTTTCATGATTTCTCCCGAGGAAGTAAAAAAAGAAAAACAAGCTCTATCTAGGAAGATGTTGAACACTCCCCCTGCTGTTCTCTGGTGGAAATATCTTTTTTTTTCTTTTTCTTTTTTCTTCTCTTTCTTTTTCCTTTTTGAAAAAGAGAAATGTTATGTTTAATGATACAGCTTAGCACGTTCCAGCACTGGGCATGGCCTGGAGTCACAGCAGCAGGGACAGAGGGATGGGGAGGTGAGCCCCACGGAGCCTCACATGAAGAAGAGCATGAGGAAGGCAACCATCAAACGAAGAGCCCATGGCCTCAGACAGGGCAAAGCCCAGAGTGGCATAGGAGAAGAGCTGCTGCTCTAGAGATGGGCTCCTGGCATAGCCAATGATCAAACTGCCAAACACTGCTCCAATTCTGGCCCCTGAGCCAGCCACACCCACAGTGGCAGCCTCAGCACCAATACCCTGGCCGCTGTGTCAGTGGCGTGGGAGACAGCACTGGTTTGGAATGCTCGCCTGGCCTTCTGGAGTGGGGAGCTACTGTAGGAAGGCTGGTGGTTTTGGTGGTGGTAGTGGGAGGGATGGTGCGGGATAATGCTCTTTAAGGAGAGGTAAAGAAATGAATCAGTTGTTTACTACGTCCTCAAATTCATCTTTCATGAATATTTGTATCTACATTATCCAGAATTATTTAATTTCTGAGATGGAGCCTGGATTTACCTCCATGTTCAAAGCCACAATGCCTGCGAAAGGGAGTCAGTCTAGTGACCATCTTTCTAGAAGCACTTAATTTCCTCTTTTCACAGAGCAGCGAAAAGCAGTAATCTAGGGGACGGTCTGTTGTGAGGAGCATAATCACCCCGAATCACTGCTTCCTGTTGATCCCAGAGCCCTAGGAATTAAAGATTTGAGTTCCTATGCAAACTGCATTGTCATTCCATCTTCCTGAAAATGATGTTTCACCACACACTCCATTCTGGAATCTGTTCTTGTTCATTTAGACAGCTTGCTCCTAAGTGCAAGATAAAAGTGCATCTCTTTCCTAGTAAATTAAATCAGGATCAACTACCAGGGCCATTAAGGCAGCTGGTCTTTGAAAATAGCTGGCCTCCTAACCATGTCGCATTGCATTTTCAGTACGTTATTCATTGAGGACTCTCATCCATGAAGGCTGTTTGCATCCTCAATTATTTACAGCCACTGTCCATGTGACCCAGCCTATCTTAAAGCATCCACACAACATTGTCTTTCACGCCCTTGGATCTTTAGCCATGACTGCTTTGGTTCTCAGTATTGAAACTGAAGCCACCTCCTCCTCTGGGTATTACTGGGTAATAAACCCCGGTTCTGATGGTTTCTGCCTTTGCTAGCTCCACGGCCACCTCGAGGGCGCTCTTCAAGCGGCTTCTTTCCCTCTGGTGCGCACAGCTCCAATGATTCTTCTCCGATCTCGGGGGATAAGGGCTTTCTCATATCACCCCTTCACTTACTTCAAAAGTACACCCCAGGAGGGCTTCTTATCAGCTGTTTATGCCTCCATGTGACTGGAAGTCAGTACTTAAATCTACTGGAGTTATGCACACTTTTAAAAGTGTTTTGGACTCCTAGCTGATCTGTTTTTCTTTGTTTGCATTCTTGCTCTCAGGGGTTGTCTGAAAAACAGCCAGGAATATTATGTATTGAATGTAACTCATTCATATGACATCATTGGACCCAAGTGCCTTGGATTCTCTGCCTTTTGGATCCTGTCTCATACTTGTCTTCTTTTTCCTCTCTCACTTAGAGCCAGCCACACAGAATTCATTTTTTTTTTCCCCCTCAAGTCAGCCAGAATTGTTTTCAGCCTAGGGCCTTTTACTGATATCTGCCTCTTCCCTGAATGCACTTTCTCCTATCTTTGCAATGATTTCCTTACCTTTCTTTAATTTTCTTCATAGTATGTATTTCAACCTAACCTACTATATGATTATTTGTTCATTTGTTTCTTGTCTTCATCTCTATAATGTAGGCTTCATAAGAGCAGGGACATTGCTTTTGTTCCCTGGTATAATCTCAATATGGTTCAATAAATATTTGGTGTCAAAATTAATAAATGGCATTTCCAGCAGCAAAGGCATAGTAGTAAAATAGCCAATATTATCTGATATTCATTTTACATCAGGTAAGTTTTAAGCACTTTAGATAAATTATCTCAATCTTGACAGTCGCATGAGATTGTTATTTTCATAACTATCTTGGACGAGATTAGCTAGATGCTAGTAAGAAGGTAAAATCTAGGCATTTTGACTCCATGACCTGAACCAGATGTTACCTATTGTCCTGTAAATCATATTACAAAAGCTGCTATATCTGAATATTTTATTTTTAAAAATATATTGTTATTGATTTCAAAGAGGAAGGGAGAGGAAGAGAGAGATAAATAGAAACATCAGTGATGAGAGAGAATCATTGATTGGCATCTCCTGCATGCCCCCCCCTCCCACACACACTGGGCAGATGAATCTTAGTTGACAGAATGAAACAGAGTTCAACAAAAATGCTGTTTCTAATAAGCATGAGCAAAAGTTCTGATACAATTAGATGAGAATGAAAATATTATTATAATGCTGCTATTCAAATATTTAAATACTTTTTGAATATGTCACATCCTTATTGTCAAAACTTATTTTAATTCATCAGCTGACATTTGTTTTTGCTCTCTTACAATTTTATTTAAAGAGATATTTGGGAGCCATCATTCTTTTCAATACTTGTAATAATAGTTCTAATCATGTCTTTGATGTGTCCTCTGGCTCGATGGAGCCACCTCCATGGTTTTTCCAGGATAATTTTTTGTAATACTAACTCCCAGAAGCTACCTGCTTACTGAGTGGCCTTGGGAAAGTTACTTAACCACTCTGTACCTATTGTGTGCCTCATCTAAAAAATGAGGATACTAATTTTATTCACCTCATACATAGGGTTGTTGTAAGGACTGAAATTATATATATATATATATATATATACACACACACATATATCTCCTATGTAATAAAAGCCTAATATGCTACGTGTCCGTTCCTCCATTCAACCAATCAAAGCATAATATGCTAATGATATGCTAAGGCTGCTCAACCGCTTCCTATGATGTACACTGACCACCAGGGGGCAGACACTCTGACTGGTAGGTTAGCTTGCTGCTGGGGTCTGGCCGATCAGGACTGAGTGAGACAGACCAGACACACCCTAGAGCCCTCCCCTGGCCTTTCCCTGGCTTGCCAACCTCCCATGTCCCTCTCCGACCCCGACCCCGACCGTGCACTGGTGGGGTCCCTCAGCCTGGCTGCACCCTCTCCCAATCCCAGGCTGATGTGGCTCAGGGAGCTGTTCCTGTTTTTGGCTTCCCATAGCAGCTTTTCCTCCTCATGACTCTCAACTTCAGCTCACAATTTACAGCTGCCAAATCACATCAGCTCAGAAGACCCTTCGAAGGTCCAGCTTCGCTGTTTGATGAGCCATGCTCTATTCCGTTCATAGCTCTGCCCTTAGCAGAGAAGGGAAGATGATTATAACCCCCCCCCCCACCCCGCTCCCCACGCACAAACACAAATCAGTAAAATAAAAAATAAGAAGTTATAGCTTTTTTTTCCTATATAGAATTGTATATGTAACATTTTAAAAGGACCTAAACAGATAAATTCCTTCCATCTCATTGTACCATTCATGGGCCAAGGATCATCCGTAAATGTATACAAAAAAATAGCCAGAGAAACAATAGGATGACATTTATTTTGATGATTCCATCATATATCCATTTTGTCATGCAGAAATTATGATGTGTTTGATCTCATAAAATGTTTGGATGGCATTTTTTTATATAAATAATTCGGAGGACAGGAACACACTTAGGAAAGAGAATTCACCCTGCTTTTGTTCTTGGGGGTTGAGGGGTAACCTAACATAGAATAAACAATTTTAATGTGTTTGTTATAATGTCATTCTTTAATAGCATTTTATGTAAGTAACACTCAAGCATGGCAACATAATAGCCCTGAGAAATACACAATTCAAACTGAGTGGGAAGCATTGTTTTATGAGGTGAACAGACAAATACATTAGTCAGTAGAGTGAAGATGGCATTTTTTTTTTTTTTTATCTTGGAGCTAGCCTTCCAATTCTCAATATTTGTGCTATATGAAAGTAACCTTATGATGAAACCATGAAAATTGAAATCTATACCAGAGGCCCCTTAGGAAAAACAATTCATTGGCAATTAAGTTCACCAAATAGCACATATATGGAATTTGTTGTAATTGGTTTTGATTTTGCAGAAGGGATTGTATTCTTGTGGAATGAGGTTATAGAATAAAAGGTTGGTGTTATAAATTAAGAAAAAGAATAAAATTTTTTTTCCACAACCGCCTTCCACAGCTTTGTCATCGTGTATAAAATTCCATAAAGTTCTCAATGCCTCTTGTTAAGAAAATAGTTTTACTTAGTCTGCTTATTTCCTTGTCTAGACTTAAACAAAGATGCGCAGTTTCTCGACTTCAGCTAGAAGAATAGATATAGGAAACTGTCATCTTTTTCTCAAAATTGTTCTTCACATAGGTAGGAAATATAAAGCTCTAGAAATGCATTATAATTATACAGGATATATTAAAATTATTTAAAATTAAGGTTAAGTTGAAATATAAGCAAGGGAGATACAGAGGCAACTGGGTAGTAGTACAGAATCCTCAGATTGAAAGATTTGTTGGGATCACTTTTAATTTCTGTCATAACCTTTGTCTCCACTTTCCTTGCTATAGACTGCACGCTCAGAAATAGAAGAAATCTCAAAATCTAAATTTTGCCAGGCAAATGCTTTATTCAACATCCAATTAAATATTAATTTACTAACTACATTGATCTTATTTTCTTACACAGAGTGAACATTCACTGCAACGACAGTTTCATCATGCTAAAATCTATTCACAAACCTACACTTTGAAAAAAGTGCTTTTCTAGGAAATGTTATATATAATACAAATGGAAAACATATTGTCTTCAAACTGTCAATCTACACAAAATAAAGCCAATCTACCACCAACATTCAGTATACATTAACAATATTTTTTAAAAAGAAAATTTTCTTTACATTTGGCAGTTCTGTTCAACAAGGATTTCTATAATTTTAAAAGTAATAAAAGTATATACAATTTAATAATGTTAAAGTAAAATGTATTAAATAGCACAAATAACATTACAAAATTAAACACCCTTATCATTTATATGAAGCAAGAGGTCCTGTGTGGTTTCCCCTGTCTTTTGACTCTGAAACGATTGTACTTTCAACTCTGTACATAGAATAGCTTGACCATAAACACAGAAGATGGTCTTGGCGTTACACACTTTTCTATTTGTGCACGTTGAGGAGAAATAAAGAGGTTTATTTATCTCCTTTAAGCAGGCACATGATTTGTATAATTTGCTTTAGGGACTACTTTAGAATTATACATATTTGCAACAATAGTTTTTAATTAATACCTTTTTATTTAAAAATAAACATTGTTATGTTGTGTTCAACAGCTATTTTTGCCCTATTGAGGCCTCTTCTTATAACATAATTTACCACCACTTAGATAATTAATCATATTCTTAGATTAAGATCAGTGACTACATTCACTTTCATAATGATTTTCAGTTCTTAAAACTTTATATTGTAGTGCTTAAAAAGGTGACATATTTACCTTGATTCATTCTTCATAGATGGTTAACTACAAGTAAAACTTTTTTGATTAGGTATATCATGCAATTTCTGTACCTGGAAATTATCTTTAAAGGCAAATAAAACGAAAGAACAAATTTGTGACTTTAAAAGAAATATGAAAGTATGAAGAAATTTTCATCTAATTGTTATTTGGAATAAAAATTCACATTAAATTATCTAATAAAATGATTCAAGCATACAACTAGAAGATAATTATTTTATTCATCACAAAACTCACATTTGTATTTATGTACCAGTGAACATAATGAACGAACATTCTTTTAAAAGAAAGTTATATCTATTTTTGTTCAGACTAGATTTTTTTTCATTTGTCCACAAAATGAACACCTCTTCACAAAAGATCATTAAAAATTAACTGATGACTTAAAAATATATTTTATATCTGAGGTTGGTAAACAAACAAAATATGAGAATAATAATGGAATTAATTATTAAAGTTAAAAAGTAGTAATATTTTAATAAAATTTTGCTAATAAAATTGCATTTTTTACTTTGTTTTTTCTCATTATTCCATTTTGATGGGTTTAACCCTCATATACAAATTTGATATTTCAAAATAGTTTTATTCTTATATTGTCTAATTTGTCACACAGACTAAAAAATTAGAACAAACTCAATCTATTAAACAGGATTAGGTTATAGTCTCTGAGTCTAGAATAACTTAAAGGATTTCCAAAAAAAAGTGCTTCTGTTTGGAAAATGATAGCATAAGAATATAAACATAAATGCTTCACTGACATAACTCCAATCAAAGCTGTTTGTCATGAGGGTCATTCATTTTATCTACTGGAAACAAGGCAACAAGTCAGTGACAGATCTTAGCAACTGACAATTTTTACAAAGCTCAAAGTAACCAGCAACCTAGTTCACTGGGAGCATATAAACTCATTATCTCTTCATGAAGTACTCTTATTTTATATAACTTTCAGGTGCCCTCTTCCTTGTCTTTTTTCTAGTCTTTGACAACTACTCTATGCATTTATATGACTCTGACCATATAAAAGTTGTGACTTTGGTATTTGTTTTCATACGTAAAATCAGTGACCTTAGAGATCCTTAAAACAAGGAAGGAAGACCACAGGGTTATGGCCCCCGTTCAATGCAGGGATGTAAGAATTCTAGTTTTATAACCACCATCTTAATTTGAAGAAAAGGTAAATAAAGATATAAATAAAATCTAGGTTAATTTAAATATTTATATGCACCATGAGGATCATGACATGTCTAGCACTAGTCACTATCATACAAGAAAATGCATGCGTGTTTCAGTTCATGTAACATTCACTTTAGGAGTGTGTAATCACCTTTCTCAGGAATTTCCCGTGGGTAAGAACAAGATTCTTTGTTCAACATTTGATTACTGAAGCCAGACAGACCATTGAAGACTATGGGGAGCGCACGCCCCCTGTAAGAAAACATTATGACTCTGGCAACTGATTCCTCCTGTTTCTACTTTTCCGGCTGTTGATGAGCGCCTTTAACTTGCCATAATCCCCTCTCATCTTTTGGGATTCTTCTGCGTGTTGATGTTGCTGCCGAGTGTCTTTGCAGTACTGGTTAATCATCTGCATCTCTGAGTGGCTGAATGCCCCCAGGAGGTCCTTCGGGTGGAAAGACAGAGCCCTCACGGAGCTAGCCCAGGTCCATGGGGACCATTTGTCTGTTACAACAGCTACCATATCAGAATTTAGAACTTTAAAGTTGATCTTGGCGATGGTCTGCTTGAAGCTGTTTTCTGTGGCAATGCAGTGATACAGTCCTTGGTCAGAGTCCTGAATGGAGCGGATGAGGAGTCCTTGTGAAGTGGCTATGATGCGTTCATTCAGCTTGACCTACAAGAGAGACATCAAAGTTCTGAAAGCCCAACTCTGTATCTTCTAAAAATATATGGGCAACATATACAGAATACTGTTGATTTTAACAAATTTGGCAAAAGTATGGAATACTGCCCTAATTGGTTTGGCTCAGTGGATAGAGCGTCAGTCTGTGGACTGAAGGGTCCCAGGTTCAATTCTGGTCAAGGGCATGTACCTTGGTTGAGGGCACATCCCCAGTAGGGGGTGTGCAAGAGGCAGTTGATTGATGTTTCTCTCTCATCAATGTTTCTAACTCTCTATCTCTCTCTCCCTTCCTCTCTGTAAAAAATCAATAAAATATATTAAAAAAAAGTATGGAATACTAATTTCCTTCTTAGTGGACACAGATTTTAAAAGAGAGAGTGAAGTTATCACTCATATTGCCAAAAACAGCTTAAAGTAAATTCCTTTTGGATAGTAGTTTCTCCACAGATAAGCCCAGAATTTTGGTTGCTTTTGGAATATGACTCACAGTCAACATATACAGCAAATGAAATTCACACATAATTTAAAATATCTCTTTCATCCTGGAGTTCTCACCTTTTATTGTAGAAAAAAGAAACTTAGTAAAAACATGAAGCAACAATTAAAGGGATGAATTGTACCCTTTTGAATGAGTGAATAAATATTCTCCTAACTAAAAATTATATAAGCAGAGGCAGTTTTGAACATTATCAAAGGCTTTTGCTAATTATCTCACACTAAAGAATCACTAAAAATAAGCTGTAATGCCATTGTCTCATAAGATTTGTAAGTGGTTTTACTTTCCAAAGAAAAGAAATACAAAGCTATGAGGTTAATAATATATAATTATTTTATAGGCTTATACTGAAAAAGCAACAACACAAAAAACAGACTGTCATTTGCTAGACATCAGCTAAGTGCTGGAAGCCCACCTTGCCTACAGTTCCAGCTATGGTATTCCCAATGAGCAGATTAAACCTAAGTGCTAAGAATTTCCTTGCCCTATATACTCTGGAATACCTTCTCACTGAGGCAAAAAGAAATTTGACACAAAATAACATAAAGGAATGCATGTGGAATGTTTTTCTAAATGGTACATTTCTATATAAATACATACTTTAACAGAATCCAAATCAAAGAAAGGTTCTTTTAGATAAGAAGTTGCCCACACAAAATAGTACAGTATTGAAACATAGACAAATGGAACAGAACTAGATAAGAGAGAGCAGGAGGAAGTAAAGACTAGAATGTCTAAAAGCAAAAATTTGATGTTCAATTTTGAAGTTTAAATGTGCATCAGAAATAGTTTAGATAATGCGTAAATACATTCAGAAATGAAAGAAAAGAAAGCCTTTCCTTTTTGTGCAAAATTGGGGAAATTTTTGGAGGTCAATTTGATAATATCTATATAACATGTACCTAGATAACATGCATACTTGGTGCAGAAATTTCATTTCCAAGGATTTGTTAGGAGATATACTCTTACAAGTATGCATATTTTTATTTGCATAATGCGTTTGTTAAGAGGAAACACAAGAAAAAAAACCTGACCAAATGATAGCTTTAAAATACTTAAGGTACGTTTATACAATGGAAAACTATGCAACCAAGAAAAACGAAGTAGCTTCATATATACTGACTAGAGGCCCAGTGCATGAATTCATGCATGGTGGGGTCCAGCCAGCCCAGCCCCATTTGGGGTGGATTGGGGTAGGGCCTGTTGGGAGGAGGAGACGGCAGGAGGTTGGCTGGCTGACCTGCCCTGATTGGGACCCAATCAGGGATGGGTCGGCAGCGGGGAGGAACCACAGGTGATTGGCTGGCAGGCCCCGCACCCGATTGGCGGCGGGGTTGGCCATCAGGAGGGGCTGTGGGTGGTGGGCCGGCTGGCCCCACCCTCAAAGGGGTGGGGGGCCCATCAGGGACAGCGGCCTAGGGGAGGGGCCACTGGTGGTTGGCCAGCCGGCCCCGCCCCTGATTGGAGTGGGGGGGTCGATTGGGGGCGGAGCTAGCTGGGGGGTGGAGCCATGGGCCAATCGGGGTGGTGGGGGCCTATAGGGGGGTGGGGCCAGCTGGGGGAAGGGGCTGCAAGAGGTTGGCCAGCTGGCCCCACCCCCTGATTGGGCCAGTTTGCTGGCTGCAGTGGGCCTCATAGCAACTGGTCATTCTCGTCGTTATGGCATTCCAGTCGCTGGCTTTTATATATAGAGAGATATTAAATAGTGGGGGTTTAGAAAAATTATAGATAATATTTGGAGGAATATATAATGATTAAATATATCAGTTTGGTAGCCTTATGCTCTGGGAAATGGGAATAAGTATTAAGATGAAATGGAGGAAGGCTTGTATTTTTCACTTTATACCATTCTCTAAAACTATATTTTTTGCCACTAGTTTTTACCATTTAGCTTACTTTTTTAAAAAGTTCAATATTTATATATTATTGATATGAGAAATAGTGTATATTTGCCTAAACTAGTAAGGAAGAATTAGGATAAATTTAATAAAATATTAATAGTACATTCAACTAAATTAAGAATCAGTGGACTTGAGCTCTGATTAAATTCAGCACAGAATAGATTTTTATAATTATATTAGAGTCAATACTTTTATAATCTTAAATTATAGCATTCTTATGTTTTTTTATTAAAAAATTAAGACATTAACATTTTGAGTCTCCACATTCTTGAACATTTTGAAATAGAACAATAGAATTATCACAAGAGCTTTAATTAATAACATATTCTATTTTAAAATTCATTTATTAATTTCTGTATTAATAAATGTATTCAATGCTGTGTATGTTCATTTACTTTGATTTTAAATAATAAAAATTATATTTACTTATACTGTATATTATTTTGTGGAACTTTTTACTGAATAAAAGGAAAACATTTTATTCTCATTAGATAATCCCTGTTTGAATTTTAGGTTTCTTATTAACATACATACAGACAGACTTTGTGTCAATGTCTAGCCCAAGAACATCATTCCTATCTGATGTTCATCATCACACATTATGACTTCTAGCCCAGGTTACTTTGCAAGGCAGTTATTATTATAATCTACTAGAGGCCTGGTGCACGAAAAGATTCGTGCAATAGGCCTTCCCTTCCCCTGGCTGCCAGCACCAGTTTTCCTCCAGCACCCGGGACCCAGGCCTTCGCTCCGGCCAGAGCCGCCTTCAAGCCTTTGCTGCTCTGGCCGGAGCTGCCTTCAGTCTTTGCTCCGCTGCTTTGCGCCTACATATGCAAATTAACTGCCATCTTTGTTGGCAGTTAATTTGCATATCTCGCTGATTAGCCAATGGGAGGCATAGCAAAGGTATGGTCAATTACCATGTTTGTCTATTATTAGATAGGATATCCATTCCAAAGAACTTAAAGTCAATTAGACTGTAGAAATCCAAGACTTCTTTGAAGATAGATTTTGTAGCTAAGAAAACAGATATCCAATAAACATTTTTTTAAATTAATAAAATATCTTTAAACTTTTTTAATATCCTTGAATTCTGGGGCAAGAAGGGGCCCTGAAGTCCACCTAGCACATCTTTCTCCAGAGAGGGAAGTCCCTTCTCATGCAAGTGGTCATCGTCCCGTGTTTTAACATTCCAGTGGCACGGTACACACAATTTCCTAAACAGCTCATAGCATTTCTGGATAGGCAGGTCTGCGAGTTGGAAAGCATTTTCTCAAGTGGAGCCAACATCTATTTTAGTAACTCTGATGCGGTATCTAGATTCTATAGCTTGGGATGCATCCATTTTACACAGCCCTAATTAACTTACATGTAGGACCAAACTGCCCACATAGAATTCACATAAACGTAGTACGCTCCCTTCCCCCCTTCTCTCTATCACATTTTATGGTGTACTGAAAACAGCATTACGTTTTAGACTACGCTGAGGCTTTAGGTATACATATATATTTTTCCTCTTTTTTTTCTGTCATTTGTCAGGCCAACATGACATCAACATTATGAAATTCATTATTTATAATATTTCACCCTATGCCATTTTATGTTTTCCTTTTAAACAGCTCTTTCCAATCAGCAAAAAGTTAATGTAAGTGTTCTTTTCTTTGAAAATCTAGTTTTCCCCCAAAATCACTAAATAAAGGCAGCAGCCCTTAAACAATGTTTCCATATATTACCTAACCAAACTCCGAGAGTTATGAATAATAAAGAGTGGAAACAGATGACCACACAGCAGAAAAATGTTCTTTACCGTAAAGGTTATACTTCAGGGTGATTTTTGCTGAGGAGAACAAGTTCAGGGGCTTTTCTTTTAAAGCCCCTTTTATCTTGTGAATCGCACAAAGGTGCTGTTGTGTGAGAGATTGGCTTCTGGATTTGCCACATCTTGTTTCTTTTACAAATGCTTCCTCACATCACCACCCCTGTCTGAGTGCCCGAGCTCTTGTTTCCGTCACCATGTTGTTGAGGTGAGCAGGCAGAGAGGATTTCTAATGAATCCATCAACCCCACGGACAAAGGAGGTTACAGAAGGTGGCACCTGTCATCCCACAGACATAAAAGGATGTTCAGATGCTTTTTCTTTGATCTGCACCTCAGTGAGGGCTGGTGATTTAATGCTCTTTGCAAAGCCCTGATTGATGGCTGCTGTGCTCTCACTCACCTCTTTCCTCCTGTCTTTGTCTTTCTGTAACAACCACTTGATAGATGCCTGCGGAGACTTGGGGGCACACTCAAGGAAAGTGGTATTATTTTTGACTCCATACTGAACAATTTCAGCTGCATTTCTGTATGCTGGGAAGCAAAAATAAATGGAGAGAGAGAGAGAGAGAGAGAGAAACAATGGAATTTAGAGTATATTCTCCTATTTGAATGTCTAGTTTTCTATAAAATTTAGATCAATTATGGCAGCCCCCAGAATCAGTCTTCATCACTTAACAAGCAGACTATTATACTGTACATGGTTCACCTGTTTTATTTAGTCCAAAGGGAAGGAAAGACATAAGGAAATCAATATTTATTCAAGAATCACTTTACACCAAATAGTAGAGGCGTAACAACAACAGGAATGCACTTAATACCACCTTGAGCATTTATTATGACAACATCCTTGTGATTTAGGTTCTCTCAGCTTTTAACAGCTGAGCAAACTGAGCCTGCAAGTTCTGAGGAAATGTATGCTAGCTAAGGAGTTAGTAAATGCCAGGCAGTATTAAAGGCAGATCCATCCCATATTCAATGTAGTATCAATAAAATTCAGAAAGAGCAGGAAAGGTAGAGAGCAAGGTGAGGCCACAGTGGGATGGAGTGGTTGAGAACACAGGTTTTGAATCAGAGGTACCTGAGAGAAAATCCTGACTCCACTGCTACCGGCTCTATAACCTTAGACAAATCACTTGATCTCTCTGTGTCTCAGTTTACTTGGCTCTAGAACACAGAGTATAATAATTTCATGGAGGTTCTTTACTGAAATTCTTAAATTAGGAAAAGCTTTTAGTATAATCATGGGGTGGCTTAGACAGACAGAATACTCATTTATAATGTGGGAATAGAAACAGACCCTACTTGAGCAGAGTTTCTTGAGCATTAAGTGAGATAATCCATAAAAAAACCCCCAAACATTTAGCTCAGTTTCTGACACAAAATCAACATCCATGTTTGTTCATTACCTCTATTCCAATACTCTCCCACCGTTATGACTACTATGACCATTAAGGAGAATGGACACAAAGTTTATAAAACACTCAGTAAATAGCGAAAAGGTAACTCCGGATTCAAAAAGATTACAATGGGAGTCTCAGTGTTAAATGTTAACAGAGGCACATTTGCAGCTCCTTGGTGAGCCAGGGCGAGTTCTGTCTGGAGATACTTCTGTTGGTTGGGTTGATGAGGGGAGAGGGGATTAGTGGGAAAAGTGTAATAACATGATCGCTTCATGTCAGAATGGGAGGAAAGGGGGTAGATTAACTGTAAGGACAAGACAGGATTGTAAAAAGTATAAGCAATGGTTATCAATTGTAAAATCAAGCCACTGTAGTACACCAATATTCAGAGCAGGATTATTCACAGGAACCAACCTAAGTGTCCAGCGATGAAGGAATGGGTAAAAAAGTTGATATATACATAATGGAATATTTTCCCGCCTTAAACAGTAAAGAACTTCTGACACATGGTAGAACCCTGAATGAACCCTGAGGAAGACATTATGCTAAGTGAAATAAGCCAATTACAGAATGACAAATATTGAAAATTCCCAGACTTTTGTTTTTCACAATTCTTGTTATACATACAAATAGCATTTAATTTTTAATTACCATATCTAAATACCAAGAATTTTAGGTTTCCCTCAGTGAAATGTGGTATGGAGCCTTGCTACTCTTTATCAAGTTTGATCATTGCTCACTGTTACTACCTTTGAGATTGAATCCTCTGCATTGGGTCAGTGGGTTGCCATGCCTCACATCTTGTCTTCGGCTCCTCCTGTAAGTGCAGAAATATATACAGGACTTAGAATTAAAAGACAGCATTTTAAATTTCAAAATATTGTGATTGCCTAAGTTTTCATAAAGAGGTCTGATTATCTGATATTTCCTGTTCGCTGCTTCAATTATAAGGTGGGTACTTGACCTTGCTTTTAATCAAAATTAATTCAGTCTCTCCCCATCTACCACTTGTGATATAATGGCTGTGAACTTCCTCTTAGGTACATTTCCTCAGTAAATGTTAGATTCCAAATTAATAGAAATTTTTAGAAGACACACATTCATCCAAAGTTTCCTAAAATGATCACTCCCAGCCCTAACCGGTTTGGCTCAGTGGATAGAGCGTTGGCCTGTGGACTCAAGGGTCCCAGGTTCGATTCCGGTCAAGGGCATGTACCTTGGTTGTGGGCACATACCCAGTAGGGAGTGTGCAGGAGGCAGCTGAATCGATGTTTCTCGCTCATCGATGTTTCTAACTCTCTATCCCTCTCCCTTCCTCTCTGTAAAAAATCAATAAAATATATATTTTTTTAAAAAAAGATCACTCCCAAAGTATACAGTCACTATCATCTTCTTACAATTTTTTTTAATTAAGCATAATTTTCTTTAAAAAATCAATACTTTCTAACAGTTTTTGGATATACTAAAACTTTTCCAAAATAAATAATACAGAGATAGAATATGGATATTTAATATAAAGCTAAGCAACTTGTTCATTTACTAGAATAAGTGTTTCCCTTTAATTTCTTGTTTTAAAATTTCAAGTCCACAGAAAATTTGGTATATGAGTACAATGAATAGTGGTATACCTAGATTCATGAATTGTATTTTGTCATATTTATTTATTTTTCTCTCATATGGAAGTATATGTCATGTATGTACTGTGAATGTACATATATGAAAATCTTTAGATAATAAGTTGCAGATGTGGTTTCACGCTTAAATGCTCTAGCATATATCTTCTAAGAACAAGTAATTTTCCTAAATATATTATCACAGTAAAGATATTATTAATACTTATCCAATAATATCATATACTACACATTTTATATCAAAATTTCTCTAGCTGTCCCCAAAATATATCATATAGATTTTTTGCAATGTTTAGAATGTTTTATTAAAGTACAAAGTTGTTGGAATTAAACTAAATTGAAAAACATAGTAAATATTCAGAAAAACATTAATAACACCACTCAAATCACACACATATAAAATGCAGATAGTTCTTAAAAAGTTTACAAGTTGAAAATTATAGAGATTTCCCCAAATGGATATAATGCCACACTACTGAGTATGGAATCAATCAAATATGTAAGATCTTTGAGTGAATGTTGTCCCCACTCTTCTGCAATCCAGTCCTCCTTAGAAATTTGTTCTTTGGGAAATTCAGACTCAGAGTCAACAAGAGAAGAACAAACAAAAGTTGAGATAGTCACATAACTTGATATAACTTCCTTCATCCTATTGACTGCTTTGAGGTTAAACAGCCAAGAGTGTTTTAAGTTTATTCAGGATCTACTTAAGGTTCATTCATTACATTCAGTTGTTATGTATCACTAGCTTAAGTATTTCAACAATGTAGTTACATCCCTTGTAAATTGGTCATTATTTAAATAAAAGTTTTAAATTACTTGCAAACTAATTATTTAATTTTCTGAGTCTTAGTATCAGCTGCATATATTAGTTTTGATTTTATTACATAGTACAACAAATCAAAACAGAGTAACTGACATATATATATATATATATATATATATATATATATATATATATATATATATAAAGAGCCAAGGGCTGTCATATCGGAAACAACCGAACGGATGACCAAACAGGCTGTGGGTGTCCAGGCCGGCAGGGGGGTTAGTGAGGGATGACCAAATGACCGAGCAGCAGGCTGCATGGGGCGACCAGGCCAGCAGAGGGGGGCAGTTGGGGGCAACCAGGCCAGCATGGAGGGCAGTCAGGGGCGAACAGGCCAGCAGGGGGGGCAGTAGGGGGCAACCTGGATTGGAGAGGGTGCAGGCAGGGCTGAGGGGTACTCTGCCCCCCCCCCCCACGTGCATGTATTTCATGCATCGGGCCTCTAGGTTTCTTATAAATGATTCATGGATCTGTACATTGCTATAAGAGACAGGGAAGGAAATTCTCTTTAAATATTGGGAGCACAGGTATAAAATGGCTACTTACTACCAATGCTGAGAAGTAAATATGAATGAGCATATCACCTAAGTGGGTTAATTATTAAATCTATCTTAATGTTTTTATCCTTAAAGATAAAATATTTAGTTAAGAACAGAAATATTAAAAATCACACAGGGATGATCACATTTACAAAGCAAACCAATCTCAAAGTTAATGATAATGAAAAAATGCCATTTTAAGGGTATAGCAAATTGTTAATAGTTTATGTACTCAATAGGTTATACACATCTATATATAGAAATATAGGTACGAAAATTTTGTGTTATTTAAGTATGCTTTTTCCAAAAATGTCACATGATCTTTAATCAGTTATATATTTCTGTACAAACACAAACTAGTGGAAGTCACTCTTGTCTCAGAAAATATAGTTATTGCTGTTCTCTAGAATAGTTCCTCTATCAGGTTTTGACTGCATTACATTTGCTATATATTTAAGTCACAGTATTATTTACTATCAGCCAGCTTATGAGTGTATAATTATATGAGCACCACATGAGAGCTCTTATGGCTGAACTGGTCATTTTTAGCCTTGAAGACAAAGCAGTATCACTCACAATGGTTAAATTTATTTTTCTGTGATCAGCACCATGTTATGGTTTACTCATGTACATGAGCCCTCAAGCTGGACAATCTAAATTTATAGTAACACATCGCTTTCAGACATTAAATTACAAAAAACCATTATTATGGCGTGGTTTAAATGATGATATCAGCAAGGCTGTCATTTGAGCCTTTTGTATGTGTAGATTTCCTGCAAGGCATTCATAATGTTGATAGGCAGAATGATATTATATTGCATGTAGGATTTGGGATTTGTCTCAAGTTGCTAATGTTTTCTCCATTACAGTCTATTTCTTTGGCTAAACAATGAAATCATTTTCTTCTTGTATAGAAAACAGATATTTACTTGAAGAGTGAACTGATTATCCTGTCTTAAAATAAAATTTCTAACTACATATCTGAATCCAAAACAAATACCATTTGAGTCTAAATTGCAATATTTGATACTAATGCCCAAACATTTAAGATACTTGTGGGTGAAGAGAAAAAAATGCTTACATTGTTTACTATTTGCTAACTTCTTTAAGAAAGAGAAACTATTGAACCAATGATATAGAACAGCTTTCTGTCAAAGTACAGACTTCACTGATTTCCAAATATAACTCTATTTCTCTTTTCTATACAAAGGACATGTTTTTATTTCATTCCCATGTTTCCCTCTCACATAGATGTTTTTTTCCTCTGTCCCTTCCTTTCTCTCAAAATCAATAAAAGTCACATCCTTGGGTAAGGATAAAAAAAAAAAAAAGAAAGACAATGAATGTGGAAAATTCCCCAAATGAGCATCTTTGTCATTACTATTTAATCCCTAAAGAATAAAATACTACCTATGGGAATTTAGGAAATAGTTAATCTATTCAGCAAACATGCTTTGCTTTCATGAAGTTTGGAAATACTTTGGATAATTTAAATAGTAAAGATATTTTTAATGAAATTTCCAGTATGTGAGCCAAAGATGAGCATAAGTAGGCCAAGAAATACCATATATATTGCATTTTTGGCTTTTTGTGAGAGAATTAGGACATTGCTAGAGATTACCAAGATATTCTTTAAATGGCTACTAATTTTAAACCATGATACATTTTTCCTGTTTGTATTGTTTTATTGAGGTATAATTGACATATAAGTTTCAGGTATACATAACATACTTTTTGATATATGTATATATATTACAAAATGGTTGCCAGGATAAGGCTAGTTAACATGTGTCACCATATACAGTTACAAAAGTGTTTTTTTCTTGTGATCACGGCTTTAAGATACACTCTCTTAGCAACTTTCAAATGTGAAATACAGTATTTTAGTCCTTTGATGCAATCATAAGGAACTGCTTTCTTAATTTCTCTTTCTGATAGTTTGTTATTAGTGTATAGGAATGCAACAGATTTTTGTATATTGATTTCATATATTGTCACTTCACTAAATGCATGTATTAGCTCTGACAGCAGACCTGTGATACATGGTTTAATACCAGGCACCATATTAACTTTAAAGAACTGTAAGCTTGTTTCAGTTCTTTGTTTATTGCAAGAACATGATTCAGGCCATGATTTGTGACATTAGGACGATGATGTGGAATCTATGTTTCCATATACATCTTAGAAAGAGTAACTGGGGTTATAATAAGTGGGAGAGTGTGAGAACAAATGAGCCAACTCATATTTCAGCACAAACCTGAGTGAGATACCTCAAATAGGCAATGGCAGTCCACACGTAGCCTAGGATTTTACTTGAGAACTATTTCTTGTTTGTTAAATAAGTATGCTTGTTGGTCAAAGTCAATGTCTGAGAGCTTTACAGGGAGGGAGCTAATCCCCAATTCTTTCATGTCATAGAAGGGGCTGCTAAGCTTCTATGGCTGTAAGATGCCCTTTGTGGCCCCCACATCACTGTCTTCCTTAGAAAGTAAGGGCTTCAGTTTCCTTCAGCACCAAATCTGTTTAATAGACTGAAGATTGTGTTCCAGGTTTTACAGATGCCAACCTTTGGAATGATTTACTACGGGGAAAAAAATGGCCTTACAAACAGTTATGGAAATAATTTTGAAACATCACTGCTACCATAATTAGGAGTCAAAAACAGATATGGTTGTAAATACAGAGAGTGTCCACAAAAATCACTTTTAATTTGAAATTTCATTTGGAATTTGCTTGTCTCATACTTTTGCCCAGATTCAGACCTGCAGCCCCGTGCAGAGGGAAGATCTCAGCGTAATGAGTCCATAAATTCTATGTAGAAATCTAAGGAAGCCACAGAGCTCCTCATTACATCTTAAAATGACATGGAGGCACATAGGTTTTGGAACACAGATACTGAAAATCCTGGTTTAAAGAATGGGAGATCTCTTTATAGCTCATGAATTTAAATACAAAAGACTTCCAAATTATCTAGCCCAGGCCACCCCTCTCTACTCCAGATTCATATTTCTAACTTCCTACTCAACATCTCCACTTGAATATCTTACAGGCACCATTCACTTATCAAGTTTCTCCCTACAAACTTACTCCTTCGACAGTCTGCTCTTTCTCTTTAAAACCATCTTCATATTTCCAATGCTCAGTTCCAAGAACTTGGTCCATCTTTGAGGCCTCTATTTCTTTAACATCCACATGTACTACATTAGCAGAGTCTATGAGCTCTGTCCAGAATCAAACCACTTGTGCCACCTCCACCTCTATCATCCCTGTGCAAGTCACCATTATATTTCACCTGGATTATTAGAGTAGCCTTTTTGCAACTTCTCTCTCCTCTCCCCTCATCCTCCTTCTACTCCAGGTCTGCAATCCCAGACAAAACCAACCAGGTCTTATTAAACAAAAGTCAAATTATCACTCACATATGAATAATCTCTCTATAGATTTCTATTTCAATTCAGCTTTAAGAATTTCTGAGCCTCCTCTTTGAAATGTTATTCTTCCAAATAATGCCATGGTTCCATTCTTCTTCACATTCAAGTCCTTGTTCAAATATCTCATCCTTGGTAAGTCCTCCCTATCCACCCACTTAACATTGCAGCCCCCTGCTTCCCACACCCCTTATCTCTCTTCTTTACCATTTTATAATTCATACACCTTCCCATTTTTTTATATACTAGAGGGTTTTCTTATTTATTATCTGTCTTCCCCCTTTAGAATTTATTATCCCACAAGGCAGGGATTTTTGCCTTTGAGTTGTTGTTTTTAGAGTGATATACCTAGGTCTAGAACACTGCATGTCAAATAAGTGTCCAGTGATACAAACTTGTTGAACTAATAGATAAAAGCTTCAGAATCATCTTGATATGCACAAGTGCAAGGATTGTTTAAACTGCCAATGTCCTTAAAGGCCTGTATCTATGACGTGCAATAAAGTATCTATAAAATGACATCCAATGATTTACTTAAAAGATCATTGGTCATGGCTGGTCCTATTTGCTCTCTCCTGCTGACACTAATTTTTATAGGTATTGGTCCTGTCATCCATCATGACCCATATCAAGGTATGACTGAAAATATCTGTGACATTGGCTGGTTCTAAATTCTGCATATTATTTGTTCTACAGTCAATTTCAGTTCTGGTGGTCCCTTCTAAATGGGTGCAAGTTGGTTCAGAGTTTCCTGCCTAAGTTTTTGCTTAGATAAAAGACACTGCCTCAGACTGCCTTGTTCTCTTAATCTAACCAGCATTCTAAAGAGTAAAGAATGCTCAAGTTTTCAAAAAAGCAACTCAGGATACCCATCTTGGAGCAACGTTCCTTTTGCTTAAATTAGCACAAGTACTTAAAAAATATATTTATATTGATTTTTAGAAGAAGGGAGAGGGAGAGAAAGAGAAATGTCAATTCAAGAATGACACATCCTTCAGCTGCCTCCTGCACACCCACTACAACCCAGGCAGGTGCCCTCACCCTGGAATTGAACTGGCAACCCTTTGGTGAGGATGACCAACTGAGCCACACTGGCCAGGGAACTAGCACAAGCATTCGATTACAGGAAAATTAAGTGGAACAGGGAAACCCTAGAAAGGTGGGATTTAATAATATACACAAGCACATAACATGAAAAGAAGATTAAAAATTAGCTAATGTAAAAAAATAAACTAAAATAAAGATAAATCCTGATGGAAATATTTGCTGTATCACAGATGGGGAATTGTGTGAGGAGGGGGAAAAAAATGTCCAAAGTACGGTATTCTAGTTAACATATTCCTGAGAACCTCAGGTTATAAAGCGCTAACATTTTCTTCATTCAAAGACTATTCACAGTGCTTTCAGTGCCGGTTTGAAAGCATACTACCGTTGTCTGGTGACATCGATTTTGATTTTCAGCTGAGTGCTTCATACTCACCGCTTCCCGGTTGGGTAGAACCGAGAGCAGGAATGGCCATCCCAGGCGCAGTAAGGGTCCCTGGCCAGGCAGCAGTCGGCGCAGGCTGTGCCATAGATGTGGCAGCGATGCAGGGACACTTGGGAAACCCCTTCGTTGGAACTCACATACAACTGTTGCTATGAGAAGAATGGTGATGATTTATTTCAGATGCGGAAGTTAAAAGGGGCCTTTCAGCAGGAACACATTATAATATATGCCCACAGACCCCTGGATTCATTTCGCAACTAGACTAAAAACGAGAAGCAAAGTCCAGAAGGATATAAAGCCAAAATAAATAAATTTTTTTTACGTTAATATGCCTATAACATTACCACTTTCCTGTTTAAAGGAAAAAGCTCAGAGTGCCATGTAGAATGGTAATGTGTTTTAGACATTGGGATTCATTGTTCTCTCAGATTTGAGCTAATATATTACAGATTTAAATTATGGTGTTTGCTTTTTTCTTTGAATGCTGTCTTTTTGCAAAATACAAGGCAGCTTTCTTATTCTTCAAGTCTGGCAACCCATCACGTTGTAAATTTGAAAAAATGAAGTCTAAAACACAAGACATTTTTAAGTTTAGAAGAAAAACTAGATAGTAGTACATAAAATTAAAAAAACACATTTTTCACATGCCTTTGAAAGTGACATATTTCTCATTAGGTGATTTTCAAATTATTTAGAAGAATGTAAGTATTTATAAGTAGACATGTCTTAAACTTTCTGTGTATCCAGAGCTATTCAGCACCCTAAGCCATAAATAAAGATTTTATCCTTCTTTTGTAGGGTGTCAGGAGTTTTTATGATACTGCTCTAATTCCTGTCGCCTAGCATAAAGTGGTTCTCAGGAGTTGATGGGGTAAGTTTCTAATTGACGCTAAATATTTTACGAAGGACTGATATGTGATTCAAAGCTAGCATAGCATCTCTAAGCTGGATCTTGGATACATGCACACACACATTCATCTACACATATTTATATTATGTACATATATGTATATGCTACTTAGAATTCAATCAGTGGGGACATCATTGTCCAGCAGGCTCTGGGGGCATACTTCTGGGATTCAAACCCTGGCTCAACCAAAATTTTGCTGTGTAACTTTTCGGAATCTCAGCTTCCTCTTTGCTAAAACTGGGATAATAGAGCATGTACCCTATAGAGTTTTTGTAAGAAATGAATGTAACAGCTAACTCCACATAAAATTTTTAGCATATTTTCTGACACCTATGAGCTCAATGAATGTTAAATAACAGTAGTAGTAGAGTATATTATCAATTCATAATTTTTCAATTCTGATAAGTCATTTGAATCACACCTCACTCTATATCTAATGTAAAATAATTTTTTATTCAGATCTATTTTTTTTCAAAAATTGGGCTGAAAAATATTGATCCCAAGTTGAGACATTCAAACCATAAGAAAACAATGGCATGTTTTGATAATAACCATTTCTCTAACAATATTTAAAGTGGTGCTTACTTAGTACATTAATAAATACCACAGTGAATGCATCAGCTTCATTAAAATTTTTTGAGGAAACTGGTTTATTTGAGAAAAGGATTACAGATAGTTTCATTTTAGAAATTCTTTTTTGTAAGTAATTCAACTATTTTCTGCTACATAGAATGCAAGAATAACTTAGAGACTAGATGTCCATAAAAATGACAATAAAATAGTATGAGCACTAGGGAAGGTGCTAATTCATGGTATTTAGCCTGGCCCGTGTGGTTCAGTTGGTTGAGCATCTACCCATGCACCAGGAGGTCATGGTTCCATTCCAAGCCAGGGCACATGCCTGGGTTTTGGGCTCAGTCCCCATCAGGGGTCATGCAGGAGGCAGCCAATTGATGTTGATGCATTGATATTTCTATCTCTCTCCCAAATCAATAAAAACATATTTTTAAAAAATTCATGGTATATAAACATGTGTATATATATATATACCTATAATGTTATCATTGGCAATTTGTAGTTCTTTCACTGTAACAATGCAGTATGCAGTTGGGCAAATGAAGTCCTCCCAAAATCAAGTAATTACCTTGCCCTCTAGCTAATTAATTTAATGAAACATTTGTGTAATTATCTACATTTTAAGGCGTTGAAAGCATTTAATACTCAGTTTTTTTCTGTGTGTGTTGTATATTGCAGTTTTATGGAATGGACTGTGAACTACAAGTTCACAAGCTGAATTAAAAGTTGAAACCTGTAACTGTATAATGAACAACTACCATGCCATACAAATGGCTTCATGTTCATTTTGAATTTTGCTCTAATACTTTCGCTTTCCATTAAACTACAGTAAACAAAGGGTTTTCCTGCTGCTGACTTCAAAGACAATTCTGACTAGGAATCAGCTCTCTAGGACACTGGGAGAAATGATAAATGGCTTCTTGTTACTTGGGAAAATGTTTGTTATGCACCATACAAACATTATTACAGATGAGATCTTTAGTTTTGTTTTACCCTATTTATTTTTCTTCATAAATTTAGTCAAGTAAAAACGAGGACAAGACTGACTGTGGATTACTTGTTCATCTGCATCAGACCAAATATGGTGAAGAACACCAAATTATGTCATCTGTTGTGCTAACACATAAAACCTTTATTCTCTATTCCAAGGAAAATGAGTCTTAGGCTCCTACAAACAGCAGTTACCAAAGAACCACTTTATTTTGGGCAATTTATATAAATTAATTTGTGAGAAACGCATTACCTTGTAGAGGCAGAAACTTAGCTCAGTGAAGTTAGATGATTCATTTGTAATTTATGGTCAGGTTAAGATTCAAACGTATGCCATTCCTGCTCTTAAGCCTACTCCACTTTTTATTATACTGCTCTGGCCCTTACAGTGTTTGCTTTGGGGTACCATTAGGGATGGACATGTCGAGATTGGAACGGCATGTTTCTTTTCTGTGATCCTTGTATATTTGCATGTGCAGGCACAAAGGAGAAGGTTAAACATTGCTGGTAATCATAGTCGAACACTTCTTCACCAAATCCTGAACCTGGTTATGGCTTAGATTGGAAACATTCAGATTTTTTTTAATGACATGTATAATCCTAAAAAATAGCCTTTTCTTAAAAATAAGCTTAAAAATGCATTTCATATTTTAAACATGTGACAGAATCAGGAACTCAGAAGAGGATTAATTACTCAATTTAAGCTCCTGAGAATGTGATATTACAGTGGCCCAACATTATGCTAAATTCTTTCTTCAGAAAGGTGTTTTTTTATTTTATTTTTTATTTTGGTTGGCTTAACACACAGTAATATTTGAGCATATAGGATATACAAAATGTTGGGCTATCATGCTGTACATACGTGTGTTTTGCTCTGATGGACTTTTGTACAAAAATAAACCTATTTTTGTCTCCACTACTAGCTAGTGAGTTCTACATCAAAACTGAAAGTGATTTTGTGGTATTGTGGTATTCTGTAAATAGTATTAATTATTATGCTCATATTAAAATAGATTTTTCAGAAATTATAAATACACTTTTTCATAGTAGTAAAATTTTTTACATGCAAAGAAAATAAAAATGGGGTTGATTTTACCTTTTTAGATGAAATTTTCATTGTTGTTATAGGAACGTGATTCTGAAAAAAGAAAAATATTATTAGTTGTTCAAATAATCATTAAAAATGATTTTGCATCCAAAACAATTTCTCTTTTCTATTGAAATTCAAGAAATCATTATTTCTCTCTAAGTGTGTGTGTGTGTGTGTGTGTGTGTGTGTGTATGTATATATATATATATATATATATATATATATATATACTTTCAAAGTCTAGCAATACTTGTCTATAATATATTTCCTCTGGGGGTAAGGATGGATTTGTTACACAAATATATGCCTAAACTAAAACAAAAGTTGCAATTATAACACATATATCAATATAGTCATTAGAAAAAAAATGACAATTTGAGAGAACTGAAAAAAGTGTATCTTGGAATAATGAATCCAATGAGTAACTCAGGATTGAACTGGGTACCTGGGTGGGGGACTGTGGGATGGTACCCCATCTTATTCCACACACAGCACTCTGCATAAGACACAATTGTTCACCTGACAAAAGTCGTTTTAGAAAGAAGTATTAGCTTGAACCATACTTATTAATTCTTTTTGCTGCAAAGTAATGTTGTCAGGGATCCTCTTTATAAAAAAAAATACTGCTATTTTAAGAGAGAGAAGGAGAGATAGAGAGAAAAATACACCAATTCGTTGCCTCCTGCATGTGCCCCAACCAGGGATCAAACCTGAAAGACGGGCATGCGCCTTGAATGGGCATTCAACCCCTGCCTCTCGGTGTTCGGTGCTCCAACTAACTGAGCCACATCAGGGCAAGGATCCTCTTTTAATAAATGTGAACCAGTTAAAGAATCTAAGAATTTTCTGAAATAGTAATCCTTTTTGAAAGCCACTCTATTTATAAATTTACTTCTTAAATATTATTAGTTACTTTTAAAGATTAAAAATTAGATGTGATAACCTAATGAAAGTCTGAAATTTTACTTGATTAACTCAAGTGGGAGCAACCTTTCAAAATCAACTGTGCCCACAATGATTTCACTTTCTGAAGCTGTATGTTCTAACATTTGAAAGATAAAATGGCAATATCTCTAAACACTATTGTAACAAGTTTGGCTCATTGCTTAGAAATACACACACATACAGGGAAACCATAAAAATCTTAGAAGACTCCATAGGCAGCAAAATAGTAGATATATGTCGTAGCAATATCTTTACCGATACAGCTTCTAGGGCAATAGAAACTAAGAAGAAAATAAACAAATGGGACCACATCAAAATAAAAGGCTTCTGCAGAGCAAAAGAAACCATCAACAAAACAACAAGAAAGCCCACTGCATGGGAGAACATATTTGCCAATGTTATCTTCAATAGGGTTTAATCTCCAAAATTTACAGGGAACTTATACAACTTAACGAAAGGAAGATAAACAATCCAATCAAAAAAATGGGCAAAGGATCTAAATAGACACTTTTTGAAAGAGGACATACAGCAGGCTGAGAGACATATGAAAACATGCTCAAGGTCACTAACCATCCAAGAGATGCAAATCAAAACAACAATGAGGTACCATCTCACACCTGTCAGGATGGCTATCATCAACAAATCAACAAATGACAAATGCTGGTAAGGTTGCAGAGAAAAAGGAACCCTCATGCACTGCTGGTGGGATTGCAGACTGGTACAGCCACTGTGGAAAACAGTATGGAGTTTCCTCAAAAATTTAAAAATGGAACTTCCATTTGACCCAGTAATCCCACTTCTGGGAATATATCCCAAGAAACCAGAAACACCAATCAGAAAGAATATATGTACCCCTTTGTTCATAGAAGCACAATTTATAATAGCTAAGATTTAGAAACAGCCTAAGAGCCCATTAGCAGATGAGTGGGTTAAAAAACTGTGGTACATCTACACAATGGAATACTATGCTGCTGTAAAAAAATAAGGAGTTTTAACCTTTGTAACAGCATAGATGGACCTGGAGAGCATTATGCTAAGTGAAATAAGCCAGTCAAGAAAGATAAATATCACATGATCTCACTCATATGTGGGATATAATGATCAGCATAAACTGATGAACAAAAATAGATTCAGAGACAAGGTAGCACTGAACAGACCATCCAACTTCAGAGAGAAGGCAGAGGAAGGGGAGGGGGTAAGAGATCAACCAAAGGACTTGTATGCATCCATATAAGCAGAACCAATGGACACAGATTGGGGGGAGGGTAAGAGCATGTGCTGGGGGGTGGGAGTAGTAGGGGAGAGGTCAATGGGGGAAAAAGGAGACTTATGTAAGACTTTAAACAATGAAGAATTTAAATTAAAAAAAGAGAGAAATACACACACATACAAAAGAAAGTATTGTAATTTATATCCAACTAGGCAACATCTCAAAGTTGCACCTCCAATTCAAGTTAAGTTTAGAGACGCTGGACATATTTTCAGAAATTATTTTGAACAGAGGATTAAAATAAGAGATAGTGGTTCTGCACAGTATATGAAACAAAGTGCCTAGTTTTTAAAAGTTACATTGCGTTTCCTGCAGTATATCTGTGGGACCCTTAACTAAGGCATTTTTCCATTTGAATGCATTATTTCCTGATGTGCCTATCACAGTATAGCATACACACCCAATTATTTTTACCTCACCTCTGAAAATGTGACCCAAACACCACGTCAAAGACAGTAACTGTATTTGGTAACTGTATCTCTCAATTCAGCCACATCAGTCACTGGCACACGCATGCATTTTGACTGACTCTATTTTTCCACTGAGAGTTTATTCTTTGTGATGATAACACCAGCCTTACTCATCTAACAGACCATAAGTAGTTAGCACATGATCAGAAGAACTCACGTTTCTTTAAGACCTTGCCATAACATACATGTTTGAGTTTGTGTCAAGCTCACTTAATTAACATTTCCTGATTGCCTAAAAAAAGGTATTTCAGAATTCCAAATGAAGTGCTACAATATGGCATTTTTGCTATCTTCAGGAGAAGTTCAGAATAAGGTACTTTATATTATTTTGGCTAGCCAAGTTGTCCCTACTGAATTGAATGAAAAAAATTGTATTTTATATATAATGTGATTCTGGTTAATCTAGTGAAACAATTTCTTTCCAAAGCAAGCATAGAAAAGGCACTTGAAAGCATGTGGTGAATATTTAATGAGCACGATTTTAATGCACTAATCTCAAAAAGCTTATGACAAAGGGAGCTAGCATTAAACATTGTCAGCTTAATAACACCAAACAATTTCCCGGAGTTCCTCACATTTTATATTTGATTTGATTAAAAATATTCCTTCACATTGAAAATGTACTAGCATCATCTAACAGCAGGCTGTCTCGATCACGTATGTGCTTATAAATTCAATATTTTTGGTGACTGTGGTAATGTATATTAATAAGTCAATACATTCTGAGTCTACTAAACTAAGCAAAGCAACTCACTGGACTAACAGTAGGCTGCCCTGAGTTCTGACATGCTACTTTTACTTAGTTATACGCTGACTCCAGTCTTTTGGTGTCTGTGGGCCAATGTTTCTTACTTGTTTTAGTTGACAATAGTGTAGAATGCAGTAGAATTGATTCCACGTCAGTTTCATTTTGATCCTAACAGATTCTCTGTCTGTGCTTTTACCCATCTTTTCAAAGCAGATAAAAGGGACCACTGAACTATGATGACCTATGCCTTAAGGACCTATGCCTGCAGGGCACCACAGATCTGCTCTCCAGGCTCACAGGTACATAAAGAATCGGCACTCTGCCCTGACCAGGTAAGATCTTGCAGGACTCAACTTCTCTCTGTGTGCCTTTGTTGTTGTTGTCTTTCTTTGTTTAAAAGCCAAATTCAAGAACAGAAAGAATAATACAGTGAGATCTCAAGTTCAGAGAGAACATAAAATTTTGAGTGATAAAGAGACAACATTTGTTTTACTTAATTAGGGTGACATTTAAATTGAAAACAATAAAAAAGGAGACAACAAAGCAGTTTATCTTGAAATTCCTGGCTAAAAAATATGAGATAGTTTATCTAACAACCAATAATGTGAAAGCATTTGGGTTTCAGTGGTTTGTGAAGCAAATGAGAAAAGCCCTTTCAAGGCAAATCTTCTAGACCTTGACCACAGAACTCATTTTTTAAAAATAATGATGAACAAAATTCTTCAAGTTGTGATGATAGCCGAGAAACACTAATCCTTTTATGTTGAGATAGCTTGAAATGCATCAAAATACTTCAGAAAAATGTTTGTTCTATATTTCTCATGTTATCTGGTGTTCCTGCCCTCACAATTTATTACATTCTTTATTTGATCTTTTATAAGATGTTATTTCCCTCCAAAGTGTCTGTTAGATGAAAGAATTGTGTTCATCATGCATGTTCAGAGACTAATAGAAGAGATGTTCCAACCTTAAACACTTCCAGCTCCTCCAGGATGAGCTCGCTGCTGGCGGTGCTGTTAGTCGGGAGAACCACCACCTTCTGCACGGTGCCCCGATCTAGGCCGGAGAAAGAACAAGGAGATGTTACAAGTCCTGTTTTGAAAGGGTAAGAAAGACACTTAGACATAAGATTACTGGCTTAGAATTTAAAATATTGTTCTTACATCATATAAACATTACTTTAAGCATTAATTATGCCACGCTATGAATCAAATATATTTTAGGTTGAAAAGAAACCAGTTGAGATTTAGCAATGTGGGATTAAAGCACATTTCTGAGTGATGATTTGATCAAATAACAATACATTTCTTCCAAAATATGTTTCTAATAAAATAATGAGATCATCTTGATCATCAAGGCCTTATTCTTTAATGTATAAGCATGAACTTGTGAATTTTTAATTTGGAAAGGTAGATTACCACAGACACTGGAACACTTTGTAATTCTGTTGACAACTGTCCATGAGAAGAGTTAACTTGCACTGAGTTGTACAGGACTTTGCAACTAAGAATCACTTAGTGATGAAACCACAAATCACACATCTCATATCTCAAACTGTCCTTCTTTTCTACATAAAAGATCCTCTTCATGCTTATAGTTTCTATTTTATGAACTTAATTAAAAGACTCAAACTAATTGTTAATGAAAAATAAACTATACTTTAAAAGGTTACCAACTAAAATATTAAAACCTACTAAAATTTTTTAAAAAGTTTATATACACAAGAACAAGATTTGGAGATTTTTCCAGAGCAATCCTTAAATCTTGTGAGGATACAAAGTATCTGATCTTAGAAGCACCTGATCTCACAAGTTTCAAACTACATCCCATAACTTAAAATTCATTTCTTCAGCCAAATTCAAAAATAAGCAACAATACCAACGCTTTGCAGGCTCTAGGTGTAATTTAAACACTTTAAAAAATTTAAATTGATTTCCTTGGAATGAGCCCTGGTAACAATCTGTACTATCCTCCTGGAAAGTAAGTAATGAAATTATATGTTGGAACTGAAAAAACACTTGAGGACGCCACATAGAAAGGTCACAATTGAAAAATTGATGAATGTGGTTGAGGTGTTTCCCAATTTCTATCCAGAGTTCATCACCAAGAATAGTGGAAACTTTGCAGAAATAAAACATGACAAAAAACCTAAAATGAAATCCTGGAAATGAAAACGGCAGTGTGTGTGTGTGTGTGTGTGTGTGTGTGTGTGTGTGTGTGATGGATGAGGGTGTAAAAACATCTTTGTTTCAGGTCCTGCTATCAGAAAGGTCACACTTTCTCATTTTTTAAGAAGTCACAACAGAGTTTATGGGTCCCCACTGCAGCTTGCAGGGATCACTGCCATTCCACATGACAGCAGTGGCCTCTTCCCCGAGGAGAGACTGGGCAGAAACTGTTTAACCATAATCCCAAACAAAACTACATGAAAGGAGATCTTGATTACAGGGGTTCCCAGAGATAAAACTATCAACCATGAAAATGATTAATAAGTATTCTCAAACGGGACAACTGGCTCTTAACTTATTATGAGAGAAAACTTTATATAGATCATCATTTCTTCTGAAAGAAGCCACAGCAGACATACTTTATTCATGCCATTTGTAAAATATTACAAAAATAGCAGCTATACAAATGGTCTAAAGAAAGGAAATGTAAAACTTGCTTTTTACTTATTTGTAATCAAAACCGGAGCACCCCTTTTTATTGGTTGTCTTCCTATTTTAGTTTTGTTTGCTTGTTTATTTTGCTGCTAATGATGAGTTAATTTCTATTTCATTTTGATACTATTAAAGGAAAATACATATATTTTTTATCAAGTAAAACTGAATGTGAAGTTATGTGAAACTCTTGCAAAAATATAAGTATATTTAAGTATTGGTAACAATACTAAAAGTGAAGCTTAAATAAAATCACAGAAATGCAAGATCTACATACAGAAACAAATATTTATTGGATGCTCATTATGTGAGTGGCTCAATGATAAAAATGTATCATTTAAATCTGCCTTTCAAGAAAAGAATATCCATTTTAATTCTTTTACTTTTCCATGTTTAGACTTGTATTGGTACTTTAGGAGCTTGCATTTCTGCAGAGCCCTTTATTACACTGATTAAGTTTTAATCAGCGCATAACAAATGAACATGTTTGTTCCTATTATAATTACACATATCAAAAGTTCTTTATGCATAAATTAGAAGTCATTCTAATTTGTGGTTTTAAATATGAATGGAAGAGGTTTAAAAATCCCTGTATTATTGTTAATCATCACTATTAATAATGGTTAACCCAGGTTTATGGACATTCAACTTATATAGTTTAGGGCATTGTTCGGCAAACTGCTGCTTGCGAGCCACATGCGGCTCTTTGGCCCCTTGAGTGTGGCTCTTCCACAAAATACCACGTGTGGGCGCGCACGTACAGTACGATTGAAACTTCGTGGCCCATGCGCAGAAGTTGGTATTTTGTGGAAGAACCACACTCAAGGGGCCAAAGAGCCGCATGTGGCTTGCGAGCCGCAGTTTGCCGACCACTTGTTTAGGGGGACTTTCTTTAAGTAAAATAATACAAAAATACAAAAACAGAGTTGTTTGAGTCTTTCCCAATAGGTAAAAATGAGAAACTTTAAAACTATGATAAATCCACTGCTGATAATTAGCCTAATTTTCTAAAAAAAGATTCTATAACACTGGACATATTCTTTGTGATATATTCTTTAAATGATATATTTGTATGATACATTCTTTAAATCAAAGAAGTTCTGGTTATCCAATATCTATAATATCTTATTACTACAATTTTATCATTCAAGATCACTCTTAAAAAAAAATGTTTTTATTGATTTTAGTGAGAGAAGAAGGGAGAGACTTCTCCATTGGCTGCCTCCTGCATGCCCCCCTACTGGGGACCAGGCCTGCCACCCTGGTATGTGCCCTAACCAGGAATTGAACTTATGACCTCTCAGTGCATGGGATGATGCTCAACCACCTGATCCACACTGGCCAGGGCAAGATCACTCTTTCAAGTGCCAGCAAAATGCTGGAATATTTATTTTTCAATTGAGTATAAGCAGACCTACCTCTTTGTTTTGTTTATTCATCGGACTTTCTTCTACCCTACCAAGATCATACTCATTCTGTTTTTCACATCCCCCCAAGTTTATCTTTCTACGCTCTCTACTTTTTCTCTGTTCTAAGTACGATCACTCTCTTCAGGCATACCGTATTCAAATTAAAATCCAAATCACGTTCCCTGTTTCTTTGGATACACTGTAGTTTGGCATTATTGCATTCAAAAGTGGTGCTCAGAATTATACAGGTTTTTTTTTTTTTTACGATGATGTCAGATCCCAGTGAGACTGGAATATTGAAGACATAGCAATAGTTCTAGTAAGTCAGTCAACAACTTAGGTGACTACACAGACTCTCTAGGACTTGGTGCCTCAGAAACAAATATTCTAACTCTGGTGTACACCAGTTACAAGCCCCCACTTTGGATGCCTTTATATTTCTGCTCCTGTTACAAACTGCCCGATGCCCGCAAGCTCTAATTCAGATTCTCAAGAGGCAGATTTAATTTGGTCCAACTTAATCATGACTAAAGCACATCATAGACCAATACTTAGTAGACAGTTCAGTTATCAAATGCTTACGTAACATTTAAATCTGTTGTGGTGCTGGGAAAGAGTCATATTACCCATGACTCCTCCCTAACGAGATGGTTTCTTTCAAAAAGCAGTCTTGGTAGACACCTATAGTTTTTTTTTTTTTTGAAAACAGACTCAAATCCTTTACTTCCTTATATAGGAAATACTTTTGACATATCCTTGGGACTGTATTATCCACTACTATGTAAATAAATAGATTTGGATTATCTTCCATCCATTTTCACTCATTGATTCAACGTAATATTATTGAACACTTTCAGTGTGTCAGCCATTATATCAAGTATGTATGCAGAGATAAATAGGCATAGTGCTCAAGATTTCACAGTTTAGGATTTATGGTTTTTTGAGTATCAGGTGTGTTCCCATTAATATGTTAGTCACTAAAAAAGATGCATTTTAGAATGTTCATGAAACTCCCAATTCATTATGTCTATATAAAGCTGTCTCTGTGTCCTTTAGTTTGAAGATGATAATGTAGTCATCAAATGTCTTTCTTTTGGGGGTAGTAAGAATGGCATTCCTTGGGTGTACTCACAACATGAATCATTTTTATTGCACTGCAGAATTGGGATATTGTTTTTATTTCCTTGGGAAAAGCATCATACCTACAACAGAGTTACGGTGAAGCAGATTATCGTCCTTTTTTCCTTAAACCTCAGTTTGCTTGTGTGTACATGTAAATGATAATTATACCTTTTGTGATGGATGCCTGTTACTAAGGCTTACCTAGAATCACCTCCCCTTCTTTTGACATTAACATGCTGAGACATTTGGGAAACCGCCCCCTTTTCATTTACGTCTGCATAGTTGAGAAATGGTGTAACACTCTCCAGCTCAGGGAGACACACAGGACTGGGGTGGGTCCTAAAGGGCATTCCTTTGCCTGTGATTCATGCAGGAGTGAGCACAGAACAAGTCAGGGCCCAGTGCTCCCTGAGAATTAGATAAGTGGAAACCTCTTTCTTTCCGAGTTCAGGGCTGTTAAAGACATAAATCTGAAGATGTTGGAGCCATCCTTGATGCCATATGCTGAGGATTTATGTTGTGAATATATTCAAGGAATGCCATTCTCACTACCCTCAGAAGGAAGACATTTAAAAACTACACTTTCATCTTCAAATTAAAGGATACAGAGATGGCTTTATGTAGACATAAGTAATTGGGAGTTTCATTGACATTCTAACATGCATATCGTCCAATGACTAACATTTTAATGGGAGCACACATAAATTCCTGACATCATTTTAGCACAGATTCAACTATGCCTGAGGCTGCCTCCTGCATTTCCCAGTGAACACACAAAAAGGAAAACACACACACATTTTTTAAAAAAAACTAGTTTGAGTAAGGTGTATGGGGTCACTTTCAGTTGAAATAATTCTAATTAATA